TCCCAAGATGATCAGTGCATTGTCCCGGCGTATCAAGCAGGTATATTCCGTTCGCCTCATGGCCACTCCCAATCACCTTCTGAGACTCCAGATCCTGAAAAACACAGTAGGAAGGAGAAAATGTTACACAACAGTTTAGTGACTTGGTTAAACTACTTACAGACAACAAATTTGTATTTAGCTTAGGTACATGAAGGGCAGAAGGTAGGAACAAGGAATTCGTAGCCTTGATGGTTCCCTTACHAGAGATAGGGGCAAGTGAACCATCAGCTAAAGTGATTTTATCACGTCCAGGAAGTAAGTCATATGAAACAATCAAGGTAGAAAGATTGGTCATATGGTCAGAAGCACCTGAGTCAATCATCCAAGGGATCTTGAGATTATCTAAAGTGGTAGCATGATTGGCAGAAGCCCTTATACCTGAATGAGTAAATGCAGAAGAAGTAGAATTTCCTGAAGAGTTGGAAGGAGAAGTCACATCACCCAGCTGACTATTCATCTTCCCAAACTTTTCATATTCTGCTCCCATGGCTGCCAACTGTGCAGAAGCAGACATCTCTTCATCTGGCCCGGCAGCTACATTTGCACTTCCTGATCTTTTACTATCATGTTTTTTCTGAAACCCAATGGGAACAAGATTAGGATGTAATTTCCAGCACTTGTCTTTGGTATGCTTCGGCTTCTTGCAGTACTCACATATAACTTCTTTCTTTCCTGTGCCACCAGAAGTTCCAGCATTCCCTTTAGGTTTAATCCCCATATTCACAAAGCGATCACTAATATCAGCCCCTTGAACTTGGACAACCCTTCTTCTCTCTTCACTACTCACCAATACATAAGCTTGTGACAATGAGACACACTCCTTGAAAAGAATATTTTGTTTTGTGATATCATATTCTAGATTTAGTCCAGTTAAGAACTCAAACACCCTGTTCCTTTCAACCAATTTTCTGTAGGTCTCTGCATCATTGGTGGTGTCCCAAGTTACARCTTCTATTAGGTCAATCTCTTGCCATAGACTTCAGGGTTGAGAAATATACAACTAGAGGTTTCTCCCCTTGCCTTAAATTCTTTACATCACTTCTCAATTTATATGCTCGGGCTACATTGAGTTTTTGGGAATAGGTTTTGCAACACTATCCCAAATTTCCTTTTGTTGAATTCATCCATAGGTAGTGTTGCCTAATTTGTAGCTGCATTGAGTTCACAAGCCACCCAATGACAGTGTAATTTTCTTGCATCCACTTCTCGTAGGAAGGATCATCTTCTGGGGGAGCCTTCTTACTCCTGGAAATGAACCCCCACTTTCTTCTACTGCATACATAAATCTTTACTGATTGTGACCATGCCAGATAATTAGTTCCATCTAGTTTAACTGTGGTCATAGTCAATAAGGAATACTTGGAATCCCCTGAATCAGTCCATATTCAGCACCACTCTTGTTTTCAAACTCTGAGGAATACATCATGGGAAGATAGAATTTTAGAAAACACCTATTCTCTTTGAGAAGTTTCCAGTCAAGTATTGGACTTTGCTAGTTGAGTAATTCCAATGGTTAGAGGCATGAGAATTTCACCTATAGCAGTTCAGAAATTTCTGCCAAGAAGGTCAAGGGATTCCCCTTCAACAGTTGAGTAATACCAGCCCTTACCACATATACATTCCCAAACTTATCTGAAACCATATTTGCGTTGATTTATACCACCATTACCAATATTGCCCAACATTATTAACCAGCCTTCCTCTGCACCTGCATCAGGGCATCCTCTTATTTGAGAGAGGAGGGAGATTAAGGAACAACATCAGGATGATCCCTTTTCTCGACCTAATTCCCAAACGGAAGATGGCTTTTCATTTGATGGGTTTCTTCATTGTACTATCGAAATTGCAACAACGTATCACCCAACCCAAAACAGACCGCAGGTAATGAATCGAAACACAGTAAGAAATAGAAGTACTGATACTTCATTTGTAGTCTTGAATAAAAAAGCCGATTACTAAAAAATAATTAAAAAACCAAACATATTCCCCAGTAACTAAAGAATGAGAATAAAAAAGTAGATATGACCAACCAGGGAATTTAAAGCAAATTTAACGAGCTACTGACCTGCCAACTAGAATTTTCCCAACACCATTCCCTGCGGCAATTTTGATGATTATCTGCATTTCAAATCCGAAGTCATTGAAGAAGCATAAAGAGAGAAGCTAGACCAAAGATGGCGAATGGAGGAAACGGGAATTAAAAAAAAAAAAAAAACAAAACAAAACAAAACAGACCTGTGCAGCTTCTCGGTTAAAGTATCGACCATCACCTCCCAATACCAGTAATCCATTCTTGAAATCCTCCGGTGGCAAGGAATTAAACAACGCCTAATCGCCCGACCCATAGAAACAATTAAAAAAATTAAAAATAAAATCAAGACAGAAGTTATTTAAAACCGAAAGTGGAATTGTCAAACCGCGAAAAAGGTGTAATAAAGAGAAAATGATTATATCGACAGTAAAACCTGGATCCAGTTTGCAAGGTAATTCTCTTGCATGAAAACTTTCACCTGTAAATAAACAGAAAATCCTTCGCTTAACTAGCGAGCCAGAGAAAAATAAAACTTAAAACAACAAAACAAACTAATAATAGAAAACAGAAAAATAAACCTTCTTCCTCAGACCGCTCGTTCCAGTCTTTTGCCCTTCAATCGGCCTAGTGGGCACCGAAGTGACCTAAGTAAATGCAGAAACGCAAATGTCAGATACGGCCCAGACCAGAATGAAAGAAGAACAAGCGGGTGAGTACGCAAAGCGGCAAACAACTGAACAAGTGAGAGAGCAGAAAGGGAAAGAGAAAGACCTTGATGCCTTCAGGCTCTGCCACTGCAGTAGAAAATGATGAAGATGCTCTGACGACAGATGGAGATGATGGTCTGCGAGTAACTTTTAACGTGACGAGGCTCGAAAGCGAAGGTGAAGCGGGGGAGAGGAGAGAAGAAGATGTGGAGGTATTAGCGAGAGCAGCATTGGCTGTCATCGTAGCTGTTGAAGCCGACGATGACATGTTGAGCGAGGAACTCAGAGCAAACGCCATGGAAGCTCTCCCCTTCTCTGCAAGTATCGGAGAAAAGACGATACTAACAACCAACCATCTGCAAGTACAACTGTACAAGTGAATGAAGTGAGTACCAGAAGCGAAAATCTATGATGATAGAAGGAAATGATACCGGAAACCCCGTATGAATTTTGATGATTACCATTTACCACCTGTCCTGTTTCCACTATTTTTATTATACCACTTGATTGGCTATAAGTTTTTCCGGTATCATAGTCAAACTCGTGTCAAAAAGATCCGTAATCAAAGATAAGTAAGCCGTTAGAGAAATTCCGATGGCTGACACCTGCCGGGAAGAATAGTTATTATCTCCAATATTGCTAACTCATCGAACCGGATCGGATATTGTTTGATCCATATACAATTCGTTTGCATCCGAATTCAAATCGGATCTTTATCAAATTTTATAGCAATAAATTGAAAAAAAAAATTAAAATATCTTTAAGATTTAGGAAATTAACTAATTCTACCCTTATTATTTATATATTATCTTCAATACCCTTAAGTTTTTTGAGAATTGTCATCGTTGATAAATATTAATGGAAAAAAGTAAAATATCAAATTTACCCTCTATTATTTCTCAAATTTTCAAAATAAAACCTGCTTCCAACCTTCATATGCCACCGTATTCACCACTTTTTGCCTTAAACACTCCACCTTTACCCTCATCAACTCCTTTAGCTTGTACAAGTTCTGCTCCCGACACTCAGAACCTAAAAAAGATGAGTAAGTCATCTTGTCATAACCAATTATGTAAGTAGGACCCAACGCATTTGCAGGGGTGGTAATAGCTAGAGCTTTTTTTTTCTTTAATTTTTGCTGGTGCTCTCATCTGACTATTCTCCAAACGTCTGAAATTGCTCAAAAAAGTACTGTCTCTTGCACCAGATATACAATGGAAGATTCAAAGAGTTACAGTAAGTTGGTAATTGAAATTTTTTCAATAATAGGAAGAGAAAACAGTCTACACTTGATTGTAAATATTCTAAGAACTCGGAGCTTCTTTCCACTTCCTATGATCTTTGTTTCTCGAAGAATTGGACACGTAAGGACGAAGTGTCACTTCTAAGTGTTAGTCTTAGAGAAAACAATCAATATGGTTGCAGCTACTTATGACTCATTCACTCCAAAAATAGGGTCCACAAACCACCATAATCCCACATCCTCCAGCTTGGTTGGCACCAACTCCTTCTCCCGCACAATCTCATCCCACATTGGACCCTTACCCGTCATCATCTCCTCCAAGCTCAGTCTGCCCTCCTCCAAGTCTTCGCATTCCTCCACTTTGAACTACTCCCCCAACACCCTCCACAAATGCTTCCACTTGAACACATCTCCATTACTACAATTGAAAGTTTCGTTCTTTGTGTAAGGATCTGACGATGCCCATATCTGATGCTCCGCATTCATATCCACATCTGATGCATCTCTCCCAAGCAACTCTTGTACTGGGAACCTCAACGGCATACCCTCATGGTTACAAATGGTTGTATAGACGCAGAGCATCCCAATTACGTTCATCAAGCTATAAGGAGAGAACCCAAAGATATGCCCAGGACGGTGGATCAACCACGTCAGTCCTTCCTTCTTCTACCCCTCTTCCAAGAAGATTTCCTCCAGAGTATGGTAGAAATTGGGGACATTTAACCTAGGAAGATCCTCGTGGAAGAGGGGATCGTGGGATTCAATCTTACCAAAGGACACAAAGGGGCTGACATAGTGCTTGAGGCCGAGCATCCAATTATGTTCATCAAGCTATAAGGAGAGAACCCAAAGATATGCCCAAGACGGTGGACCGACCACGTCAGTCCTTCCTTCTTCTACACCTCTTCCAAAAAGATTTCCTCCAGAGTATAGTAGAAATTGGGGACGTTTAACCTGGGGAGATCCTCGTGAAAGAGGGGATCGTGGGGTTTAATCTTACCAAAGGACACGAAGGGGCTGGCATAGTGCTTGAGGCCGATCTAGAGGTAGATATGTTGGAACTTCGTATTTGTTCAATTACCAACGGATTGAATTGGATTACTCATAACCGGATGAAAATCAGACAAATGGTATAGTTTGCAGTCTTTTGACTGTACTGTCTCTGATTCATTTACATTTACTAGTTGGTAATACGTACAAATGCACGTGTAAAAGGAAAGGAGACAGCATAGAGAAAAAGAAATGAAATTAAAATTTTATGATGGTCCGTGAGGCCAAAACAAATATTTTTATTTAAAATTAAAGATTCCTCGGGTGTCGAACATTTTTTGAGAATAAGTTCCCTCCTCACGAATCGGGTCATAACACACATAAAGGCCTAGACGCTACACGACCACACCTCGCTTGTTATATTTCAACCAAGACAAGTTAAGATGGGAATAAAGCTCAATTTGGAAGGAGTATAAGATTATAAATACAAATATGTAGAGTTTTGTATTATTTTATATATATTTATATTTTACAACATTAGGGTAATTTAGTCCTCCAATGATATGATGGCATGTGACATTACATAATAGTAGAGTGGTATCTCGACATCATATAAGCAAAACCTCAAGAGCACTTCAGACACTTTACAACTACCTTGATAACCATGGCACCACTCTCGTAAGCAGAATTGCAAATAACCAGGCAAGACCTCAAGTCGGCGTAAGAGACGATCTGTTTCCATCGATCTGACCCAACTCCGATTAGTGACCTGCCTAACGTGTCGAGCGACCACCCCTTAAGCGGGCTATCACCTTTGAATTCCCCAGGATCACGATGCCATATTGAAAGAGCCGGTAATCACCCCGCCGCTTCGAGCGGAATTGAATAAACATTACCCAATTACGCGGAGTCCACCTCCAAGCGTGAAACCACCTTTGAACCAAACAGGCTAGAGATCCCGAATGCATTTCGGTAGGCTCACGTCAGCTCGCCTATATAAGAGCCTCACCTCCAACCTCACAAGGTATGTACGATTTAGCTTTCACAATTGTCTAGCTCTCTTGCTTTCTTGCAAATAACTACCAGCTTGCTAAGTTAAGCATCGGAGTGCCCACCTTAGGTAAAGCTATCTGAATATTCTAATAACCATTTTCTTGTAGTTTGACCAAATGACCTACTCAATCTGACATTCGAGCTATTTGCCTTCAAGGAACACCAAATCGCACATCATCAGTACATATGTACTCTTTCCAAAGTAAGAATAAGTATTGATTGGTCAAATCTCTTATAAATATCTATATCAGTTTATTGGCTATCAGCCAAGGATAACAACAGAAGACTCAACCAACTTTCTTGTGCTTATCTGGCATGTAAATCTAAAATTACAGTTCGGTTCAATTCTAGACAAAACGGGCACGTAAACTTTCTATTTCCAAAGTAATGCATTTCGTTTAGCTTGCAAAAAAAAGTTTATTGGCTATCAGATCATCAACATGTCCTATGTAGACGTGGACAATCATGATTGGCTCAATATCCTCTCGGAGATAATTCAGGGTCTAAACTCTAAAAAAGAGGGGTTCATTCAACCACTTGATAAGGATTTTTGGGCTCAAATTGGTTCCGTTAATTAAAACCTTTTGATTCTTTCCTACGACGTATTCAGTTGGTATGCTGGATAATTTGTCCCAATGTAGATGCCATTTCAAATCCTGTTACCATTGTGTTTGAAAGAAAAAAAGTTATATATAAATACTGGTTAATGATGTGATGTTATTGTTCACTCAAAAAGTAACGGCCCCTATGGGAGATTCAGGGGTTGATTAATACCCAAAAGAAAATTCTATATAATTAAAATGCAATTGTTCCTAACTTCCTATCAGATCTCTCTCTTTCTATCTTCATCCAAGTCTTTCAAAATTTTTGTAGTTTTTCGAACTAAAGAAATTAAAAAAAAATAAAACGTAGGGCTGCTTATATTCACCCACAACCAACGAAGTTTCCTTTCTTTTAGGAAACTGAATGTGATCATTATAAAACACGGGCATCTTTTACCACCAGCCCCTACTTCACATGGATCTCTTTTAGTAAGGAAAAATCAGAAAGTTGAAGTTCTTACACTATGTGGTTGGTTTGCTAGAAGATAAAATAGTAATAGAGAGGTTTTTCTTTTTTTTTTTGAGTGTTAGTAAATCCCCCATAGGGGTCGTTACTCTTTTGAGTAACACAGCATCCACAGGATTCACATCCGCATTTTCGCTGAGACAAACCAGCCAGCGTACCAATTGAGCCAGCCACTCAATTGATAGTTGAGAGTTGAGGAATAGTTCTTAACAATTTTTGTGAAACTCCTTTGACTTTTCCCTCAACTTTCTATCTTTGAAGGAAGCTCTTAACAAATTTTGTAAAATTCTTTAAGACTCATATTCCTCAGCTTCCTATTTCTCTCTTATCTTCTATCTACCCAAACACAGTTACAAAAGCCTTAGGAAATTTTACAAATTTTGTATTAGAACTATCCTCAACTTTCGATTTCACTCTAATTTTCTATCAAACCGAACTCATGATCACAATGATAAAATCTATATCTATACTATCTATAAAAGAGCGAATGCCCTTTTTTTTGGAATTTTCATTGAACATTTTCTATCCCTCTTATCTAAGCATATAGTGGGCACAAAGAGGGTATATATGTCTTTTACTCTCACTTCAGGAACTGTCCACTTATTACCATTCAAAAACTGCTCACTTATAACCATTCAGAAACTGCCACGTGCAAATGCGCGTACATGTTTACTAATTAATACAAAGTTCAAAATGGGTCTGGATGTAGTAGGCACGTTGGGTAAGCACAATGAGTGAGCACGTAATAACTCTGTGACACATGTCCCAGTTAATGTACCTTTCATTCAGACGTTTTTGTTCCATTAGACAAAAATTATCGATTATTTTATTATGTTTGTCAAAATAATTAAAAATAAAAAATAATGAAAATGGAAAACCTAAACCTGTTGGGAGTTGGGATTCATTTACGTTTTCCTTTTTTATTGTTTTTATTTTTAATTATATTGACAAAGATGATAAAATAATGGATATTTTCTGTCTAACGAAACAAAAACATCTGAATGAAAGGCACATTAACTGGGACATGTGTCACACATTTATGACGTGTTTGATGAAGGGTGATTTGGCCCGACCTCCTAACTAGGT